CGCGGCACCCGAACCCGCGCCTTCTGCGCAGTCCGCCCGGGTGCGGGCCGCCATCGCCGCCGCTGAGCTCCGCTCGCAGCTGAACCGACCGCTGGACATCCAGGAGGGCGCGGCGCGGCCCCGTCGCTACAGAGTTTTCAACCCCTACACCGAGTTCCCCGAGTTCAGCCGCCGTCTCATCAAGGACCTGGAGAGCATGTTCAAGCGGTGAGTGCCTGCGCGCCCGGGGTCCACAGCGCGCCCGGGGACCCAGTGGCGTCTGAGGGGGACTCACACCGCGCCAGGGACCCACGCCACACCCTGGTGACCCACACCACGCCTCGGGAACCACGCTGAGCCCGGGACCCACACTGCGCACTGGGGACCCACGCCGTGCCCCAGGACCCACCCCGCCCCCGGGACCTACACTGAGCTCTGGGGACCCACGCCGAGCCTGAGCCCCACACTCTGCGCCCTAGGGACCCACGCCGCACCCTGCGCGCTCGGGACACGGGGCGGGATGGCAGGGGTGCCTAGGAGCCCTGGGTCCCGTCTTGGTGAGTCAAGGTGGAAAGAGGTGTGCAAGGGGTTATCCTTTACGTTCGATCCAGCGTTCCCAGTGCTGCGCGCAACGGGGACACCAAATTGGACTGCAGTAGCGAGGCAGGGGCCTTGCCCTTTGGGACCCAGTTCCGATATGCCCGCTGGAAGGTTAACCCGCGCCCTGGCCCCGGGAAAGGAGCCGGCGCGGGTCCCAGATTTGCTCCAAGCGCAACTTCTAGGAATGGAGACTGCGCCACGCCTGAGGGCTTTTAACTTTATCTCCCTGGGGAGAAACTTGCTCCAGGAGCCCTTTTTATCTGATCCAGCCCTGGTGGGTGGCACTGCGGTTAAAGCAGGCGGTTGCTATGCTGGCGAAGGATCTGATAGTTGGCTCCTGAAAAAATCCGCAGGTTTGGAAACTGGGTGCGTTCTTCTCTGTCCTACAGGGTCTCTGAGGACCGGAATTCTGGCAGTGCGATTTGGGTTCCCTTCCTCCCCCTTTAATATTTTAAAACAAAAGAGGAAAGTTAATACTTGGGGCACAGTGTGTTTCAAGGCAAGAACCGAAGTTGAGAACTGGGCCTTGTTAAACTGGTAAAATCAGGGCGTTGCCGGAGTTAGAGCACCAGGGGAGCTCAAGAGGCGACAGATCTTCTTGTTCTCTCTAGCATGTCCCTGGGGAAGAACCGAGGTTGGGGTGGGCTTGGTACTACCCACCTGGCTGCCCGGTTCCGACCCCGAGGCTGCTGGCCCTTCCTGGACACCGGGCAGTGGATACCAGGTGCACAACACCCCACTGACTGCCTACTACCTCTTTGGACCTTGTGTCCTCATGTGGAGAATGAGGGCAGTAATGGTTTCAGCCTTTTAAGGCCACAAGTGCTGTGTACCGGGTAGCGGGTAAGCGCCTAACTGAGCTATTAATATTTCCAGAATTGGGCCGGACCGGAAAACTGCCTGGGGTAGCAGAGGCCGAGGGCCAGGTCGTGCACAGAGCGCTTTGAAAAGTGCATGGAATGTATTTGTCTTCGTTGTAGAGGCTCTATTTAAAGGCGCTGTGGCCAGCGACGTGTGGCTTCTGGTGCCAAGGCAGTCCCCTCATTCCCTCCATCCTGACTGGCCAGCGCCCTGGCTTTGAGGCTCTCTGACATCCCTCATCCCCTCCGTCCGGACTGGCCAGCGTCCTGGCTTTGAGGCTCTCTTCTCTGACATTTACACCTGGTGTGTGTATTTTGGGCAGTTAACAAGCTGAGCTGGTGGATAATGGGAAAGGTGAGTTTGCCAAGGCCCCTTTGATGATGTGGTGGAGGATACCTTTCACGTGGAGACTGTCCTGCCCCAGTTCCACCCAATGCAAGAGGACATCCCAAGGACTGTGGACCCTTCAATTGATAGGTTACTTGGTGGTTACTAGAGTTTCATTAGTTTTTCCTGCGTAACAATCTTCAAAGGCTAGGTTTTTAGTTGACTGCTTAAGAAAAAGCAAGAAAATCTTCCAGAAATCAAGCAGAAACAACATAGGCAAAAGGGTGTGTTTTGGGGTTTCAAGAGAGCTGCCCGTCCAATTCTGTGATGGAACTTCTCCAGAACTACTGTGGTGAACAGGATTCCAGATCAGGACTCCTGTAACTTACAGGAAAATTCAGCATGAACTGAAAGGAATCACTTGGCTCCCTTTTGATGATTTTAGAGTCAATGTGGCTTCAGGTATGGTTGGATCCAGGAACTCAGATGTCAATATTCCCCTTTTCGTAAGCCACCTGTCCCCGTTCTCAGGTGGTGGCAGTGTGGCCAGCAAGTCCAGTGGGAAAGAGTAGCCAGCAAAGGCCTTATTATGTTTGTTTTTTGTTTTTTTAGCTTTACTATTGTGTTTAGTTGACTCTGAACTAGTTACAAGAAATTCATTGCCCTGATTGTGCAGGCTTGGGCCATGTGTCCTTTCCCCCGGGAGTGAGAAGTTCAGTCCTACCGCAGGGGTCTGGAGATGGGTGAGGGTAGATGCCCATTCTTGGACCTTGACCTTGAGTGGGGTTGCTCAGAGCTGTTGCTTGGTTGACTTCATTCTCAGCCATGAATTTCAGGAAGCAGGACTCGGTAGTTGTCATCCGGGAGTGGGATGTGAGCGGCAGCTGTTCCAGAGACACCTTCCTGGGGACAGGATGGCACAGATAGAGCTTCGCATACAATTGACTAGACCTGGCCTCCTAACTGTGACCTTGGGCAAGCCACGTAAACCCCTTTGTTTCCTTGCTGGTAAAGTGGGCACAAGTAACCCTTCCCTGGATTGTTCAAAGCGCCTGGTGTGCTCGGCTGTTTACGGAAGGGATTCTGTTCTGGTTCAAATCTGTGCAGAAGCAGCTCGGAGGAAAGGCCTGGTGAGGTCTGTCTGACCAGTCGGCCATTTAAGGCCCTGAGGAACACGGTTCTGCTGACCCTCACGGGGCTGTCTGGAGGAAGAATTGGCTCAAGGCCAGTGCATTTTCACCACTTCCCTTGAGGACTGGTGGCTGCCAAGATGTCAGGAGCAGGTCTCGAGGGAGGAGGGACACTTGGCGAATGCCACATTGACTCCTGCTACTGTGGTTAGGAAAGCCAGAATTGATGCCAGAATTGAGCGGCCTGTCCTGCATTTGGGGAGCAGGGGGTAGGGGTTGTGGTCATGCGCAGGTCACTTAATCACTCCTGTCTTCTCTGTAGGGACATTGGTCCTTTTATGGGGGTTTGTGAGAATGAGGGGAGGTGTTGGGTACCAAGGGAAGCAAGGACACAGCAGGCCTCTGGCCCCCATGTGGCACTGGTGGACCACGTTTACAAACCTCTCAGACCTGGTACCCACACTTTCCCCTCCTCCACCTGCAGGCTCCCCACAGCTATGGAAATCGAGTCTCCCAGGGCCCATGCCTCCCTACACTCAACCACCCCTACCTGAACTCACAGGTTGGCCTCACCATGGACTATTGGGTGCTCGTGTCCGGGTGCTCTGCTTAGTCCTGGCCCACTTTGGTGCCCAGGGACTGTAGTTGATGGATAGGATGGTTCACACACACCAGGTCATCAGGTCAGGCTAGGGCTGGCTCTCCCTAGCCCCTGGCACTGCCCTTCCTGACCCGTCTGAGCAGCTGCTTCCTGCCACCCAGCTGGTTTTGGGTCCTTGTCCTAGAGCTGTACCCAGGCAGCCAGGATGACCACTCTGCTGGGCCCTGCTGCCTGTCCTGTGGTCCACACTCCCCAACCTGCAGAGTCCTCAGGTCCAGCTGGTCTCTCGGCTGCTCTTCTCTGTTGCTTCCTTTTTCTCCTGCCCACTGCCCTATGTGACTTTATTTTTTTTAATGATGAAGCTTTTCTTTCTTATTTTTTTTAAATGTATCTAAGTACTTTTGAAGACCTGGTGGGTCACGTTTTCTGAAATCTGTCACCTTACTTCATGTCCCTTCCATATGGGACCACTACCTACCAAGGCTCTGGGCCCACATGTCTCGTCTGCTGCCCGAGCTGCTGCCCCAGAGCCCACCCCAGCCATGGCACCTGGGTGGGCCAGCTGGCCATGACCACTCTCCGTCCTAACTGGAGTCTAGAGTCTCCCTCATTTTTCTTTTTTCTCACTTTTAGACTCTTGAGTCTCTGGATGGTGCAAATGTTAAGTGCTTTTTGTTTTTTGGTTTTTAATTTTTTTTTTTAAGCTTTTTGGGTTTGGGGTTTTTTTTAAATTTTATTTTTTTATTATTTCTTGTGGGTACTGTCAAATCAGATCTGACTGGTACAGGAGGAGATTGTCCCTCCTTCTCCAGCAGAGCATCTGGTGGATTCAAACCATGTACCTCTGGGAAAATGTTAAGGTGTTAAGCTATTACTGGAATAGTTGGCAGTTTGTATCCACCACGAGATGTCTCGGAAGAAAGGGCTGGCAGTCTCCTTCTGTATCGCCAAAGGACATCCCACAGCTTGTTTCTCACCAAATTACTTTCTCAGTTTTACTCACTGGTGCAGTATTGTGAGGCCGAATCAGAGTGTGAATTCTGAAGGCGGACTTGCTGTGTTTGAAGCCCGGTTCTGCTGCCTGCTACCTGGCAGCTTACTTAAAACTCCCACAAAATGGTGATAGAATGGCACCTACCTCGTGAGGTAATTGGGAGAGTAGATGAGTTAACACCTGGGAAGTGCTTAGCTCCCACTTTGGCCCTTCCCGAGGGGCCTGGGTGTTCTGGTCTTCGTCTTAGCACGGAGCTGGGGTTTTGCTATGGTGCACTCTCAGTACTGTCCTGTGTAAATGTCTAGTAGTTCATGAACGCTTTGGCACGTCGCTGCCCTTTGAAGTTGGCTTGGCCTGATGTGTTAGCTGTGTAGTGTGTCCCTGGCCTCGCAGAATGACTGGTCCATGGGACAGTGTGTCCTGTGGGTTGGTTCTCTGAGGGAGGGACTTACTCACTCTGGTGCTGTTCACTCAAGACCCTGTCAGCCTTCGCTGCCTCACTTCTGCTGGGGAGTCGGTGGTGAGGTGGCGGGCTGAGAGATCCTTCTCAGCAGGAATCCTGGGGTTTCCTCTTTGTGTTGTTAGGTGACATTGAGTTGACTGTGACTCACAGATCTGAACGTTGTCCATCTGGCTTCGCCCTCACAATCTGGGGTTTCCAGGGTGAAAATCACTGACTTAGCTGACCCCTAAACCAGTTCCAACTCAAGGCAAC